ATACAACATCCATTCATGACAGAAACTCTCAACAAAGTAGGTTTAGAGGGAACATACCTCAACATAATAAAGGCCATATATGAAAAACCCACAGCTAATATCATAATGGTAAAAAACTGACAGCCTTTCTTCTAAGATCAGGAACAAGACGAGGGTGTCTTACCCTCACCACTTTTAATCAACATAGTACTGGAAGTCTGGGCCATAGTAATAAAATAAGAAAAAGAAATAAAAGGCATCCAAATTGGTAAGAAAGAAATAAAACTGTCACTATTTGCAGTGACATGGTACTATATATAAAAAACCCCAAACACTCCACCAAAAAAACACCAGAATGGATAAATTAATTCAGTGAAGTTGCAAGATACAAAATTAATATACAGAAATCTCTTGGATTTCTACACACCAATAAAAAAGAAGAAAAAGAAATTAAGAAAACAATCCCATTTACATCAAAAATAAAGATGTAATTTATAACATCAATAATTTTTTTTTAAAGATTTTATTTATTCATGAGAGACAGAGGGAGAGAGAGAGGGAGAGAGAGAGAGAAGCAGAGGGAGAAGCAGGCTCCCAAGGAGCAGGGAGCCCGATGCAGGACTCAATCCCAGGACCCTGGGATCATGACCTGAGCCGAAGGCAGACACTTAACCATCTGAGCCACCCAGGCACCTATAACATCAATAACTTAAAAGGGTTGAGTAGAGTAGCATAGCAGCAGAGAGTTTTTGTATCTTACTGAAGTTCAGGTGGTTTAAATTCAAATCAGAGTGTTATAATTTTAGGATGTTAAATGTAATCCCCATGGCAACCACACAGAAAATAGCTATAGAATATACAGAGAAGGAAATGAGAAGGGAATTAAAATGTTTCACTAAAAAAAAAAAAAATCAACTAAACATAAGACCGTAATGCAGACAACGAGGGACAAAGAAAGTATAAAGCATATTGAAAAAAAGAGCAAAGGGACAGAACTCTCTCTTTATAAGTATTTATTTTAATGTAAATGGATTAATCCCTCCAATCAGAACATAAGAGATGGCAGAATGGATTTAACAACTAAATGATCAAAATATGCACTGTCTACAAAAGACTTACTTTAGAGCCAAAGACACAAATATGTTGAAACTGAAAGGATGGAATATTCATACAAACATAACCAAAAGAGAGCAGGGGTGGCTATTTCATTATCAGACAAAAAAATATATTTTTTAAGTTACCAAAGGCAAAAATATGACATTATGTATTTAATAAAAGGCTCAATCCAGCAACAAATAACAATTATAAACATTTATGTACCTAATAACCATCAAAATGTATGAAGCAAACTAAGACAGAATTAAAATGAGAAATAGATAGTTCTACACTAACAGTTGGAGACTTCAATACCCTACTCACAATAATGAGACAGAACAGCCAGACAGAAGTAAGGAAATAGAGGACTTAACACAATAAACGAACTAGATCTAGCAGACACACACAGAACACTTTACCCAACAACAGATTACACATTCTTTTCAAGTGCACGTGGAAAATTCTCCAGGATACACCGTATGTTAGGCTACAAATTAAGTCTCAGTAGATTTAAAAAGATAGATATCATACCAAGTATCTTCTCTACCAGCAATGGGATGAAGTTTGAAATCAGAAACAGAAAGAAAACTGGAAAATTGGGGCGCCTGGATGGCTCAGTCGGTTAAGCGGCTGCCTTCAGCTCAGGTCATGATCCCAGGGTCCTGGGATCGAGCCCCGCATTGGGCTCTCTGTTCAGCGGGGAGCCTGCTTCTCCCTCTCCCTCTGCCTGCTGCTTCCCCTGCTTGTGCTCCCTCTCACTCTCTGTCAAATAAATAAATAAAATCTTTAATAAAAAAAAAGAAAACTGGAAAATTTACAAATTTATAGTAATTAAAATAGAGTCTTAATGGATCAAAGGCAAAATCACAAGGGAAATTAAATTAGAAAACACGGAGAGAAGAATGAAAAGAAAAATCTAATATACCAAAATTTATGGGATACATCAAAAGCAGTGCTAAGTGGGAAATTATAGCCTTAGATGCTTACATTTAAAAAGAAGAAAGATCTTGGGGCGCCTAGGTGGCTCGTTCAGTTGGTTAAGCAACTGACTCTTGATTTCATCTCAGGTCATGATCTCAGGGTCCTGGGATCAAGCTCCCTGTCAGGCTCGCGCTGAGCATGGAGCCTGCTTAAGAAAGATTCTTTCCCTCTCCCTCTGCCCCTCTGCCCCAACTCGCAATGCTTTCTCTCTCTCTCTCTCAGAAGAAGAAGGAAGAAGAAGGAGGAGGAGGGGGAGGGGGAGGACAGATCTCAAATCCACAACCTAACTTTACAACTTCAGGAAGTAAGAAAAGAATAAGCTAAAGCTAAAGCTAGAAGGAAGGAAATAATAATGATTAGAGCAGAGATAAAATAGAAAATAGAAAAACAGAGAAAAATCAATGAATGTAAAAGCTGGTTCTTTGAAAAGATAAAATTATCAAACCTTTAGTTAGACCGAATAGAATAAATGCATAAAGAATGAGGGAAATAGAAAATACCATTAGTACACCACGGGATAACTGTTGTAGACTAGATCCACTGACGGAAATTAAAATGAGTGGGCAAAAGTTTTAAGAAAAAAAAAAATACCTGCAAGTGTCAGAGTATTGCCCCTAAAATAGTCATTAATTACAATGGGAAAAATGGTAACTCTACAGTGGAAAAACCTGGTGGACAATGCTTTAATCAACTGATCAGTGTTAACGTCAACAGTATTTAAAGTATGTGGACACCATTTGGTCCCTGATATGAGGCTCTGTGATGGGCACATCAGGACTCAAACCCCAGGTCTTGTTAGACTCTAAAACATTATACTGTTAATCATTTTAATATGAGCAGACATATTTTCTTTCAAGAAACAAATAAATGGACTTGTTGGTGAAAATCAAGGGTAGTACACCAAGCCGGATATGCTATCACTTGTAAAATATACCCAGTTCTGTAGAGTTATTCATTAAAGTATAATTAATTAGTAAGGGAAGACAGGCTCCAAGTGAGCTAATGTAGAAGAGAAAAAGCAGAACAGAAATGGTATTTACTGATGCTTGACACATGGTAGATGGTAAGAGTAATAATAATAACAAATACAGCGGTAATATATTTTTCATTTAATACTATTTTAATCTTAATTCAATTTTATTTATGGCAAATGCTATTACACTTATTCATTCATTTAATCCTGGCGACAATTCTATGAGATAAGCACTATATTATTCCCCATTTTGCAAATGAGGAAACAAAGGCATAAAAAGTTGAGCGATTTGTTTGGGATCATCTAGTAAGTGGCACTATGTGTCAGGTACTATGCTAAATACTTTACATATCCTAATCCTCAATATTCCTGTCCAGAAATACCTTTTCTTAAAAAAATTTTAATTTAAATTTGATTTAGTTAAAATACACTGTATTAACAGTTTCAGAGGTAGAATTCAGTGATTCATCAGTTGCATACAACATCCTGGGTTCATTATTTCAAGTGATTGTTTTTCATTTTAACAAGTGAAATTTTGCAAACGAAAAATACAAGGCTCTGTTGGGCTACTCGACATGTTGCAGGACATTGAGCATGCATGGCCTCCACCTGGTGACAGCAGTCTCTCTTCACTGTGAATAAGCAAATATGCTCCCCCAAAACATTGCAAATGTCTCTAAGGGAGCAGTACTCCCTCCAAAACTGATTGTTAAAGGTCATTAGATGGTAAGATACAAAGCTGGGACGTGAATCCAGACCTGTGTGACTCCAAGGTCAGAGTTATTTCCAATACCAGACACAGACTTGTGTAAGAATTGAAATAAAAGCAAATGTACAAAGACAGAGGGAGGACAGCTTCACAAAGTGTGTGGAGCAATACACTCCAGATGAGGAAACTATACAGTTGACCCTGGAACATGGGTTTGAACGGCACGGGTCCACTTATACATGGATTTTTTTCAATAAATACAGTACAGTCCTATAAATGTATTTTCTGTTCCTTATGATTTTCTTAATTATATTTTCTTTTCTCTAACTTACTTCATTGTAAAAATACAGTATATATAAGACATATGACATACAAAATATGTATTAGTTGACTGTTCATGATATCACGAAGGCTTCCAGTCAATAGTAGACTGTTAGTTAAATTTGGGGGGAGTCAAAAGTTACATGTGGACTTTCGACTGAGCAGGGAGTCACCCTTAACCCCCATGTTGTACAAGGGTCAATGTGGTTTGAAAGTTAAAGTAGTCCATAAAGTATAACAATAATATCATGTATCATTTGTTGAAATAAACGAAACAAAAAGCGTGGACCAATTTGTAAAGTATATCAAATTTGTCTATTGAGGGAATTAGGATTCTGTTCAGAACTCTGAGTGAGAACTGGCATCATTAACATGTTAGTTATCTGTGTATGTCTAAGCTGAACAAAGTTACGGAGGTGGGAGTTAAGAGTTCCTGAAAGAATTTCAGAGACTACTATTTCTTTTAGTTTCATCATTCTTGTATTTTCAAATCTATTAAGGATGCTTTCCCATTCATCGTTATATAAGCTGTATAATTTATGGGTGCAAATCATCTGTTATTTGAATTACTTTTTTATTTAATAATAAAAAATTCAGAATGTTGGGGGGAAATATCAAAAGGCAATACTAGTATAATTAGTGCTACAGGCCACAAAAACAGACAGTCAAAACATTCCTCCAAATACATATACATAGAATAAATATTTTTATCTCCTCAAGGGAACAAAATAGCTTTGGTATACAACGTTCAGATAATATTATAAACCTTTGAAATTTTTAACATTATAAATATTGATATACAGATACTGCTGCAACAGTAGCCTATAATCAACATTTTGGTTATTTAATGGAATTTCTACACTTCAGTCATGTGTATGCATGAACACACATGAGTGCATACCATAAGCAAAAATTTAGTAATCAACTCTAGTAATCAATTACCTTTGCAATAATAACTTCTTTCTTCAGAATCTTCATAGCATAGTATTTCCCACTTGCCTTCTCTCGAACCAAAATAACTTTCCCAAAAGTGCCTTTACCTAGTAGTTTCAAATAGTCAAAATCATTCATTGTCTGAAAAATACAAATTAAAAAAATATAGTATGAAGTATTTGATGCAATTTATTTATTAAAAATACAGGTATATGTTTGCAGTATCTACTCAAAAGCAAATTTTACCAATTTCTAAGCACACTTAAATGACTAAGAATCAGATTGGCAATGGCTGCCTCACTAGCAATCATGGATACGAGAAATAATTTAAGCAATTCTCAGATACTGGAGACAATAATTCTGAACCTCAAATTCCTCAACTAGTCAAACTATCAGTCAAGTGTAGGGGCAAAAGGAAAACAATCATTTTCATTCACTTTCAAGGACTCAGGGTTTTTTTGGTTTTTTGTTTGTTTTACTGAAGTACAGTTAACATACAATGTTATATTAGTTTCAGGTGTACAGTAGAATGATTCAACAGTTCCGTACATTGCTCAGTGCTCATCAGGACAAGTGTACGCTGAATCCCCTTCATCTATTTCACCCATCTGTCCCACCTGCCTTCTCTCTGCAACCACCAATTTGTTCTCTGTATTTAAGAGTCTGGTTTCTTTGGTCTCCTTTTTTCTTTGTTCATTTGTTCTGTTTCTTAAATTCCACATATGAGTGAAATCATACAGTATTTCTCTTTCTCTGACTGATATTTCATTTAGTATTATGCTCTCTAGCTCCATCTATGTCATCGCAAATGGCAACGGCTTTTTCTTTTTTAGGGCTGAGTTACATGTGGACTTTCGACTGAGCAGGGAGTCACCCTTAACCCCCATGTTGTACAAGGGTCAATGTGGTTTGAAAGTTAAAGTAGTCCATAAAGTATAACAATAATATCATGTATCATTTGTTGAAATAAACGAAACAAAAAGCATGGACCAATTTGTAAAGTATATCAAATTTGTCTATTGAGGGAATTAGGATTCTGTTCAGAATATGTATTGTGTACATATACCACCTCTTCCTTACCCATTCACCTATCAGTGAACACTTGAGTTGCTTTCATACCCTAGTTATTATAAATAATGCTGCAATAAACATAGGGGTGTGCATATATATTTTCAAATTGTTGTTTTGTTTTCTTTAGGTTAAGTACCTATTAGTGGAATTACTGGATCAAATGGTAATTCTATTTTTAATTTTTTGAGGAACTTCCACATTGTTTTCCAAGGACTTAAGTTTTTCAGGGTTTAGTAGTGCCACTATCCCCAAACAACATGGTCATCAAAAATGTCCCCCACAAACATTTCCAAATACATCTAAGGGAGCAGTACCTTTCAGGGAAGCTATTTGAGAATGTACTCTAACAAAATTAGGATGAAATCCTACGAAGTGAAATATTGGTGTGTAAGAATTGTTGAAAATAACCCCGGAGCCCAGTAAGACGAAGTCTAAAAAGAAGCAGTACAACATCTGAGAAAGCAATTGGTGCAGCTCAGAATGGAAAGTCAGGGACGTCTAAGAATGCCTCTAATTATTCTGCCTGTTTTCAGCTTCATTTCTCACTCCTAAGTCAGCTGATTTCCAGGATGTCGCCAAGCAGACCTGCTACTTGCTCTCTACAGCCCCCTTTATGCATGCTTTTCCTGCTCTATGAATGTTCTTCCACAAATTTCCATAATTTTGATATTTGTTGTCCACTAATGCCTTTCCCCCACTCAGCTTTTCATTTGTGTGGACTTGTCTCTCTTTTAATGCCTTTACTACCATTTTAATGGGCTTTTAAACGGAAGGGGAGATAACTGGGCATGCTCAGTTTATCATCTTAAATTTAAATTCAGTTCCGAGGGCTTTATGAATAACAAGTGAAGCATCTGGGTTTTTCCCTACAGATGATCAGAAGTTAGTAGAGACTTTTCTGCCATTTTATAACTGTATTTTTTCCTGTTTACCACCCATCCAAAGTAAATGTCAAGAATGTCTCAAATCAATGATCTCAGCTTCCACATTAAGAAATTGAACAAGAGCAAATTAAACTCAAGAGAAAGAGAAGAAAGGAAATAAAGGTCAGAGCAGAAATCAATTTAAAAATTTTTAAAAGAAAAAAAAAGTAGAGGATATCATACTGGCTATGGACCAGGAGAGCTGGTTCTTTGAGAAGATCAATAAAATTGATAAACCTCTAGCCAGACTGCTCAGGAAAATAAAGAAAGACACAAATGACCAATGTCAGGAATGAAAGAGCTGACATTACTACAGACTCTACAGACACTTTAAAAGGATCACATGGGAATATTATAAACACCTTTATGCCCATAAAATCAACAATATACATGAAATAAATAAATTCCCTGAAAGCCTCACATTATCAAAGCTTACTCAAACAGAAACAGGTAACTTGAAGAGCCCTATGACTACTATGAAAATTGAACTTGTGGTAAAAAAAAAAAAAAAACTCTCAACAAAGAAAACTCTAGAGTGAGATGGTTTCACTGTTGAATTCTTTAAACGTTTAAGGAAGAAATGATACCAATTCTATATAAACTCCTACAGAAAGTTGAGAAAAAAAGAATACTTCCCAATTCATCCTATGAGGCCATTATTACCCTGATTATCAAAACCAGACAAAAATATTACAAGAAAACTACAGACCAATATTCTTCGTATTTTGTAAAAATTCTAAAAATTATAGAAACAGATGCCTATATTCACTTTCAACATTATCTGCTGCCTATAATTTTGAAAAATATTCCAAATGTCAAGTTATAATATCTTAACCATTCAATAATATCTCCAGTTCAAAAGACAAGGAGCAAACAGTAATAGGGAAAATGAAAAAGTACATTTATTAATTCAACTAAAAATCAAACATATGGCACTAAATATACAGAATAGAGTTAACAAGGTTAGTGTCATTTGAATAGCTGGTAGTATTAAGAAATTCTGTTTTCACTAATAGATTTTTAAAAACCAAGGAATACTGTATAACCCCAAAGCTATCTGTGCTAGGCAGTCTCCAACGATGGCTGCCACTAGTCCCTTAACTCCCTGTATGCACATGCCATTCTTCCCATGAAGAGGTGGACTCAACTTTCCCTCTCCCTGGGCTAGCCTTGTGTCCTGCTTTGAACACAGAATATGATCAAAGTGATACTATGCCAGTTCCAGATCCAGCCTTTAAATCTAGCAGCTTATGCTTTCACCCTTTTGGAAATGTCATAATTGAAAGCCAGCCTTCATGCCATAAGGAAAGATACCATGTACAAAGGGCCTGGATGATGAGACACCATATGCCAAGAGATCACAGGGAGGAGAACCAAGAATCCAGAAACGTGAGAAAGGCTTTCTTGGATCTTCCAGATCAGCTTGCATGCTAACTGAATGCAACTGCTTGAGAGATCCATGTGAGACCAGTGGAAGTGCCTACACAAACCACAGAATCATGAAAAGTAATATACTGTTCCTCTTTTAAAGACATGAAACCTGGGTAGTTTATTCCATGGCAATAATGAACTGAGACACATTATTCTTATAATTAGGCTACAATGTTACTTTTTGCTCAAAGCTTCATTTAAACAGTACCCTCCTCAATTTGTATCTAAATGCACTGAAAAATACTTGCTGTGTCCTACTACTAAATATCATAGAAATGGAAACTGAATTCTTAGAGATAAAAGAAAGGAATTTATAAATTGCTTTACGACATTTTCAGATGAAAAGCAATATGTAATTATAAAATATTGCTATATTCCTTAAGGACTGCAATTCTTAGAGAAAAGGTTTAAAAAATATAATAGCCTTATCGTTAAATTTCACAGCTTCTATCAGTTTGACTGCCAACCTTAAAAGGGAATTTGCATGGAAATTAATATTAGTAAAAGCATCCTATGTGAAAATATCAGAAACAGATTTCATATCTATTTTGACAAAACTTCAGAAAATTTAAAAAGTATCTTTGATACCAAATGCTCCTGTTCAGCATGGTACACAGAGTAATTATCTAGCCTTTACAAATGAAATGTAACCCATTACAAAATTTTCCCTCTTTTAGATGGTATTAAAGGAAAAAATACAGTAAGATTTTAATAAAAGATGAGAGCATGGATCCTCTGCAGAAAAATCAATCCTCTAAAACCCAGTCCCCCAAATTTATTAAGTAAATATTTTACATAGTTATATTCTTTCCTTCGCATAATCTCCAGCATGTCAACGCAGCTGTTTTAGGTTAAGAGATGGATGGGCATACATAACAAATGACACTATAGTATAAGAAGAAGGCTAATTATACAGTCCAAAATTTAGGTTAAAGAATATGAATATATAATTGAAGATGAATAAATTAGGCAGAACTTTGACTCCCATTTGGCTGTTGATCCTTTTATACTGTGCTCCTTCACATACCTGACCCTATAGAGAATGGCCTCTTGGCAGACCAAGATTAGGCACTTCTGAGTCCTCTGATCAAATTCCTTTGAAAGATCATCTTTTAGTTGGAACACAGAACAGCACATAAATCTGGTTATGAGGCTTCTGCCCTCTTTTCCACCACCCAGTGTCGTTCCTTAAGAGATTTTTCACCCTGTGCAGCAGATACCAGGTAATACTCTACCACTAAGAGAAGTAACCATGTGTCTGCTTGAGGCAAGAGAAAACAGCTCAGACAATTCTCAGCAGAGCTAACACAAGTAGTAGCCATTCCCCTCATTTTTGCTCATTTTTCAAAAAGTGAACAAAGAAGAAAATGTATGCTGTAAATTATGAGAAAGGCATTCTTATTTCAGAATATCTGTGTTTACAGTCTGATATTAAAAATAATCTGACTTCTGCAATTCTTTCTATGATACCTGATACACATAAAGGATGTAGTACTAGGGAACTAGGGAAGTGATAGCACTATTTTACCCTTTTTAACCAAGTTGTTAGGGCCATCACAAAAGAGTGGTACTGAGGTTCTACCTTTTTCTATACTCTTTGTCATTTTAAAAAGGGTTTTATACTATCTCACTTAAAATGTAACAAAATAGGGGTGCCTGGTTGGCCCAACTAGTTGAGTGTATGACTCTGGATTCCAGCTCAGGTCATGACCTCTGGGTCGTGAGATCGAGCCCCTAGTCGGGCTCCATGCTCAGTGAGGAGTCTGCTTGAGATTCTCCCTCTCCCTCTGCCCCTGCCCCTGCTCACCCGCTCCCTCTCTCCCTCCCTCTCAATAAATAAATAAATAAATACATAAATAAAATCTTTTTAAAATCTTTTTAAAAAATGAAATAAAAAAGAAAAATGGAAATCAGGTATAGGTCAAATAAGACAATGAATCCTCTTCTTTTCAAAATACTTCTGACCATATCAATTTTTAATTTTTGAGACCCAGTTTCAGTGAGAGATTTCTTAGAGAATCTGCTTTAAAAACCTCACTTTCTATCACTATTCTGTAAATTAAAATTTTACTGATTTTCCCAAGAGTATACCAATATAAAATGAAATTAACTGAAACACAAAGTACAACATCTTGACATAAATATTTTGAGAAACAAGGACAATCATAAGAGAGAATATCTGTATAATTTTGTTCTCTAATATAAGTTGGTCATGTAATGAGTATAATAATTATAGTGATTATAAAGGTTCACGTTATATCAATCAATAATAAGAATTAAGTTGCACACTGAAGTAATACAGTGTATAATTAAAAGTCCTTACATGTTTGAACAAGATTATTTAACTTATCTGAATGTCAGATGAATCACCTGCAAAATGGGGTAATAATGGTACCTACACCTCATATGGTTTTAGTGAGGATTAAATGAGGTAATACGTATTGCTCAGAGCATAGCACAGAATAAACTTACAATAAATGTTTACAAGTGATAATTAGTGAAGGTGATGAATTCTAAAATAATCCACACTGGTAACGGTGAAGAGAAGAAACTGCACTGTGCTTTTATAATGACTGATAACCAGCCTTAACAGAAAAAAAAAAAAATCCTCCATACTTTTGCATTTTTACATCTTTGAAAATGTTTGTCTCTCTTCATTCAAAATTTTTTCTGGTAAATAATTTCCATATTCATTTCTAAATTCTCTCATCCATCAGTAAGAATATTTCTAGTTAGGATATTATAAACTCCCCACTTTCAACATGTAACTGCCTCAACAGCAGCTTATGACTCTCAGTTATTAAGCAGAGTTTTAGGAATTTCAGTTAAAAAGAGTATAACTGGGGCGCCTAGGTGGCTCAGTCGTTAAGCGTCTGCCTTTGGCTCAGGTCATGATCTCAGGGTCCTGGGATCAAGCCCCGCATCGGGCTCCCTGCTCAGCGGGGAGTCTGCTCCTCCCTCTCCCACTCCCCCCTGCTTGTGTTCCTGCTCTTGCTGACTCTCTCTGTCAAATAAATTAAATAAAATCTTAAAAAAAAAAAAAAAGAGTATAACTGGCATGCCTTGCTACTGGATGGGGTAGTGGAGAATCAAAAGGACAAGATTCATTGGGACCTGATTTTAAATTTATGAGCTCGGTCACATGTTACATTCATTGTGTACATGTGCACACAGACATCCAAAAGAAGCTTTCTTATCTCTGAGTAGGTGAGTAAAGCTAGACTGTTTCTCTGTTTTTGTTTTTTGCAATGACTGAAGAACAAGGGGGTGTTAAGTTGGCTTAAAAGAGGGATTCGTTTCAACTAACAAATAGAGGATTAGTCTTTAATGAAGGCACAGAGTTCTCAGACAGTTGACCAAGATCAAACAAAGAATATTATTATAATTAGAACAGAGATTTCAGATAAGGAGAGAGTAATTAACAAACTCTAGGTTGTGATGGTATGACTTCATCAAGCTCACGTGTTTAGCACTTGGAAAAAGGAGGATTTGAACTCAAGCAGTCTAACTCCAACGAGCTCTTTATTATGCTAAGAACAAATTACATGGGTAATTACATAAAAACTAGTGTTTTCCTACATGAAGATTAAATTTATAATTCATTATAACAAATACATTCTAACATAATAAATGGCATGTTCATTTACTTTGACCACTTAGATCTTTAGATTAATCTTAAAATACCATTTTCATACAAAGAAGTTGTTTTTTAATTTTCTTTTTTTTAAGATTTATTTACTTATTTGAGAGAGAGAACAAGCAGGAGGAGAGGGAGAGAGAGAATCTAAAGCAGACTCCCCGCTGAGCACAGAGCCCAATGAGGGGCTCGATCCCAGGACCCTGAGATCACGACCTGAGCCAAAATCAAGAGTCGGACGCTTAAGTGACTAAGCCACCCAGGCACCCAGCTTTTTAATTTTCTATAGCAATGAAAACGTAATTTGTAATTCCATCAATATGTAAATTGGCATTTATTAATCTGGAGCACTCAGGGAAGGAAAAAGCTTTTCCCTCACTGGCTCGGGAGCAAGCCATTAAAATAAAAAGCTATTATTTCGCAGACTATTCACTTTCCTGCTGATATTAGTGAGGCTGGGGCATCAGGTAGGAAGCACATCAGAACCATTTCTGCTTCTGCTTTGAGCACACAAAATACCAAATGGAAAATGACCAAATCATTAGGGAAAACATTATTCCCAAGTTCTAAAATGGTATTAAAAACAATAAGAAAAAAATGCAAATTATTAATCAGCACAATGGCACTTCAGTTAACAAATACCCCCGAAGCCCTATCAGCTGTCAGTGTTAAGTGCCGAACCATGAAAATGAAGTGATGTTTAAATTACTTGGTCTTAACAATGACAGGTATTTCAGATTTACCAGGATAAACACCACCCACACCTATATATTTGCATAACATAAGATCATCAGCCAACAATTTGCCATTTTGCAAATGGCAATTTTTAGCATATTTCTTCCACACACAAACACTGTGCTGAGTAGGGAATAAATTACTATTCTCTACCTTTCTTTTATGATGGGTTGTGGAAGCATCCATCTCCTCCTCCCCTATATTATCAATTTGTGAAGTTGGACTACAATTCATTCTCTCCTCTTCTTGTCTCTGAAGTCTGTCTGCTACAGCCTGAATAGCTTCTGTCCACTCTTCCCTACAAAAACAAGTACAGTTTCCCATTAATAAAGAATGGTAAATGATTCAATTATTTCCCTTTTATAAAATATGACATCAACACAACTAAAGTCTATTCCAGGATAATATACACACACATATGTAAATATAACCTCCCACCCTTACTCAAAGGTGAAATTAATCCCAAAAGCATTTAACCTTACAGACCTTACAATTGTAGGAGCATTTATTTAAGAGTAGAAGAAAAAAGAAGGAAAGGATTATAAGAAAATTCAGTTAAAACCCTTTAAAAGTACAGTTAAATTTTATTACCTATCCACATCTTACCTATAAAGTAAATTGACCCCCCAAAGCTTGCTGCCCCTTACAAAACTTTTTTTGTCTAGCCATTGTTAAATTCATCATTGACATAGTCAAGATCTTTACTGTGGTCCAAAAGAAGTTCCAAGAAAAGGTTTTCAAAGCCAAGGCCTTTCACTGTTCCCAAATCACAGATAAGTTAAAAAAAATGTCATAGTTTGTAGGTAAAATAGTAAGTCTCAGGAGCACTGGGTGAAATGTGTATTATCAGATCAAGAATCATTCATTTCCATATAAATTTTTAAATCAGTGTGTGTTAAAGTCTGTTAGAATTTTGAGTGGAATTGTATTAAATCTATGGGTCAATTTGGGGTAGATTACTATCTGAAAAACTTAAATTTTCCACTCCATAAAGATAGTATAGTCTTCATTTATTTAGGTCTTTAATCTCCCAATACAACCTTTGGGACTTTCTGTGAAAATGTCTTGCATATTTTACATTTATTCAGAAGTATTTTATTTTTAAAAAAATTTTTTTTTATTGAAGTACAGTTGACATACAGTATTACATTAATTTCAGGTGTACAACATAGTTATTCAACACTTACATGCACTATGAAATGCTCACCACATAAACGTAATTACCCCCTGTCATCATACAAAGTTATTACAATATTATTGACTATATGTGCTATGCTGTATTTTACACCCCTGTGACTGACTGACTTTCTGTAAATCTTCTTTGGAAAAATGTCTGTTCAAGCCCTCTGCCGATTTTTTAACCAGATTATTTGGGAGTTTTCGGTTTGAGTTATAGGAGTTATTTGTATATCTTGGGCATTAACCCTTTATCAGATATGTCATTTGCAAATATCTTCTCTCATTCAGTAGGTTGCCTTTTTGTTTTGTTGATTGTTTCCTTTGTAAAGCCATTTTAGTTTGATGCAGTTTCAATTGTTTATTTTTGCTTTTGTTGCCCATGCCTTAGAAGACAGATCCAAAAAATACTGCTGAAACCACTGTCCAAAGGTTACCACTTATGTATTCTTTTAGGGGTTTTTATCATTTCAGGTCTTATATTTTGGTATTTATTCCGGTTTTAGTTTATTTTTGTATATGATGTAAAAAAAAAAAAAAAAAGTGGTCCAGTTTCATTCTTTTGCATTAGTTGTTCAGTTTTCCCAACACAATTTACTGAAAAACTGTTTTTTCCTATTGTATATTCTAGCATACTCTGTTATAGATGAAATGACAAAATAAGTGTGGGTTTATTTCTGGGCTGTCCACTGTGTTTCCATTGATCTGTGTGTCTATTTTTGTGCCAGCACCATACTGTTTTGATTACCATAGCTTTGCACTATACCTTGAAATCTGGGATTCTGATACTACCAGCTTTGTTCTTCTTTCTCAAGGTTGCTTTTGCTATTCAGGGTCTTCAGTGGTTCCATATAAATTTTAGTTCTATGAAAAAATTATTGATATTTTGATAGGGTTTGCAATGAATCTGTAGATTGCTTCAGGTAGTATGGGCATTTTAACCATATTAATTCTTCTAATCCATGAACATGGTATGTCTTTCCAATTATTTGTATCACCTTCCACTTCTTTCCTCAGTGTCTTATAGTTTTTAGAGTGCAGGTTTTCACCTCCCAGGTTAAATTTATTCTTTTTGAACCAATTGCAAATGGTACTGTTTTCTTAATTTATCTTTCTGATAGTTCCTTGTAAGTGCATAGAAATGCAACAGATTTCTACATGTTACTTTCGTATCCTGCAACTTTACTGAATTCATTTATTAGTTCTAATATTTTTCTTGGTCAAGTTTTAGGGTTTTCTTTTTTTTTTTAATTTTTATTTATTTGACAGAGAGAGAGACAGCGAGAAAGGGAACACAAGCAGGGGGAGCAGGGAAAGGGAGAAGCAGGCTTCCCGCTGAGCAGGGAGCCCAATGTGGGGCTCGATCCCAGGACCCTGAGATCGTAATCTGAGCTGAAGGCAGGCACTCAATAACTGAGCCACCCAGGTACCCCAAGTTTTAGGCTTTTCTATATTTAGTATCATTCACCTACAGAAAGTGACAGTTTAACTGCCTCCTTGCCAGTTTGGATGCCTTTTATTTCTTTTTCTTGTCTGACTACTGGGGCTAACACTTCCAGTATTGTGTTGATTAAAAGGGGTGAGAGTGGACATCCTTGTCTTGCTCCTGATCTTAGAGTTTTCCTAAGAAAACTTGGAAATTTTCACCATTAAGTATGATGTTAGCTGTGGGTTTATGGACTTTATTATGTTGAGGTACATTCTCTATACCTCTATATCCATTTTCTTGAAAGTGAATGGATGTTGTATTTTGTCAAATGTTTTTTCTGCACCTATGGAGATGATCACATGATTTTCATCCTGCATTTTATTAATGTGCTGTATCACACTCACTGTTTTGTGGATATGAAACCATCCCTGCACCCATGGAATAAATCCTATTTGATCATGGGGAATGATCCTTTCAACGTACTTTGAATCTGGTTTGTTAATGTTTTATGCCAATTTTGCATCTGTGTTCATCAGATACTGGCCTATAATTTTCTTTTTATAGTATATTTGTCTGGTTTTGGAATCACAGTAATGCTGGCCTCACAGAATGAATTTAGAAGCAATCCTTGCTCTTTAATTTTCTAGAATAGTTTGAGACGAATAGGTATTAAGTCTTCTTTAAATGTTTGGTAGAATTTACCTATGAAGCCTTCTGGTCATGGACTTTTTTTACTTACTGGGAGTTATTTGATTACTGATTTGATTCCATTACTACTAATTGATGTCTGTTTAGATTTTCTATTTCCTCCTCTTTCAATCCTGGAAGATTCTAGTTTCTAGGAATTTATCCATTTCTTCTAGGTTGCCTAATTTGTTGGCATATAATTTTTCATAGCAGTCATCCCCTTCGTATTTCTGTGGTGTCAGCTATAATTTTTGTTTCATTTCTGATTTTGAGTCCTGTCTTTTTTTGTTCTTTAAGAGTCTGGCTAAAGGTTTATCAATTTTGTTTTGCTTTTCAATAAACTAGCTCTTAGTTTCACTGATCTTTAGTATTATTCTTTTAAGTCTCCATTTTATTTATTTCCACTCTGGTGTGATTATTTCCTTCCCTCTAATAACCTTGGGCTTTGTTTGTTCTTCTTTTTCTAGATCCTTAGGAATAAGGTTAGATTGTTTGAGATTTTCCTTGTTTTAGTTGTTTTTTGGTAGGCCTGTATCATTGGAAATTTGCCTCTTATAACTGCCTTTGCTGAGTAGCAAAGATTTTGAACTGTTGTGTTTCCATTTTCATTTGTCTGCATCTATTTTTTTTTAATTTTCTCTGTGTTTTCTTCATTGACCCACTGGTTGTTTAGTTGCATATTGTTAAAACACCATGTTTGTGGGGTTTTTTTCAGTTTTTTCTTGTAACTGATTTCTAGCTTCATATTGTTGTGGCTGGGAAAGATGGTTGATATGATTTCAATCTTCTCAAACTTATTAAACTTATCTTCTTAAACTTGTTTTGTGGCTTACTATGTAATCTGTCCTGGAGAATGTTCCATGAGTACTTGAAAATAATGTGTATTCTGTTGTTTTTAGATGGAATGTTCTGTATATATCTTTTAGGTCTGTCTGGTCTAATGTGTCATTCAAGCCACTGGTTCCTTCTTTATTAATTTTTTTTTCTGGATAATTTCTCCATTGATGTAAATGGGGTGCCAAAATCCCCTCCTATTATGTTAATTTCTCCTTTTATGTCTGTTAATTTGCCTTATATATTTAGGTGCTCCTATGTTGGGTGCATAGAAATTTATAACCATTATATCCTCTCGTTGGCTTCATCCCTTCATCATTATATTATGCCCATCAAGGTTTCTTGTTACAGTCTTTGCTTGAAAGTCATTTTGTCTGATATGAGTATTGTTACTCCAGCTTTTTTTTTTTTTTCCACTTCCATTTGCACAGTATTTGTTTTTCCAGCCCTTCACTTTCAGTCTGTATGTGCCTTAAGGTCTGAAGTCTCTTGTAGACAGCATATATTTGGGTCTTATTTTGTTTTTTCTTCATTCAGTCACCCTTTATCTTTTGATTGGAACTTTAAGTCCATTTACATTAAAAGTAATTATTGATAGGGATGTATTTATTGCCATTTGTTGGCATATGACAACTGCCATGTAACCATTTTCTGGTTGTTTTGTAGTTTTTCTTGGTTCCTTTCTTCTTCTCTTACTCTCCTCCCTTGTGATTTTATGATTTTCTTGAGTGCTAAGCTTGGATTCTTTTCTCTTTAGGTTTTGTATCTATTAAAGATTTTTGGTTTGTGGTTCATATAAGGTTCACATATAACACCCTATGTATATAGCAGTCTATTAAAGTTAATGTTCAATTAATTTTAACACATTCTAAAAGCACCATATTTTTATTACCACTCTCCACATTTTATGTATTTGACTTCACATTTTACATCTTCATTTGGTATATCCATTAACTAATTATTGTAGATATAACTGATTTTATTACTTTAATCTGTTAATCTTCATACTAGTTTTATAAGTGATTGATCTACTACCTTTACCATATGTTTGCTTTTACCAGTGAAATTTTTCTTTAATAATTTTCTTAGTTCTCATTATGGCTTTTCTTTTCTTCTTAAAAAAAGTCCCTTTAACATTTCTTATAAGGCTAGTTGAGTTGTGATGAACTTTA